TTCTCAAAGAGGGCGGGAATGATGAAGATGTGGTCATTGATCCTACCGAGCCCGAGGACGAGCCGCGCTTGGGCTATGGAAAAAGGTGCAAGAAGGGTCGAGACGACTAATGGGGCTGTGCAAAGGAGGCTCGTGGAGGCTGCGCAAGGGAGAAACATGCGAGGCGTGGACACACGGTACGTGGGAGTCATGTAACCCGGCGCGCCGGAACGGGATGCGCGGAACAGGGCCGCGCGAGGAACGACACGTGAAGGTGGCGCTGTGCAGGGATGACGATGATGGCACGAAGGGAGGTTCGCGACGGATGGCTCGCAAGCGGTTTGACCACGCGAGAGGCGGATGGCGCGAAGGACTTGATCAGCGGCGCCGCGGGCAAGAAGAGGTTAGCGTGGGGTTCACTCGCGGGCAGGCGCAGGACGCGAAGTGCAAACACTCATGTCGCGTGTACGCGGCAAAAGAACCGGGCGGTGCACGAGGGGAGGATGTTGGGTGGATAGCACGCACCGCAACCAGCCAGGGGCGAGCGAACGGACATGATGGGGCCAAAGTGTGAGCTACGCACGAGAAGGACGAACACGCGTGAAAGGCGGCAGGCGGACGGGCAAGGCGTGACGCGTGGGACGCGTGGGGCACGCACGGGACCGAGATCGAGAAGGACAAGGACTCGCGTGACGCGGCTAGGGTTTCCAGTTGACGTGCGGCGTAAGAAGACGCAAGATTCTAGAAGATCTAGGGCCGATTTTCACTAACATGTTAGGAGTCATAGTTTGGTTAGGATATTGAATAAAAGGTATGTGCCTTATTAGTTTGGAAAGTCTTTATTTACTAGATATTTAGTTGCCTTAGGATTTTATTTACTTACATGCATTAGGAGTTCTTCTTAGACTAGAAATAGATTTACTTAGCCTCGATATATACTCATCTATGTCATTCGAATGGAATAATTATTGAAGTTAATGAAAAATCGTTCGTTAGAACAAATCTCGTGTGTTTAAGATTCGTGAGAGTTTTATCATACAAACCGAGTTTGGCAAGGCTAAGACCCGAACCATCTCAAAACCATGAGAAGATAAGACTAATAACCGAGTCATCCACACCTATCGCCGAGAAGTTGTCGTGGCAAAGCGTCCAACGAGGCAATCAAGTTGAGGAGATACATAATCCTTCATCACACGGCCAGTTGCTGCTGACACGGCCCTGGCACGACACGTGGCTCTCGGGTGCTGCTGGGCATGGCCGAGACTGGCTAGGAGTGCAGGCGTGCGGCTGGCACGACACTGGCGCGACTAGACTCGGGACAGATGTGGTCTGCGGCTATGCGGGCGCTGCCGGGCGTCCCGAAGGGTTCTGGGCACGCGGGCGTGCTGCTGGGGCACGTCCCGAGGCCGACTGGTGCGTGGGGTCGTGCGGCTGACACGACACGGCGCGGTTAGGCTCGACAAACACGGGACTGACGCGGCCAGACGCGTCTCACGCATTACCGGGCGTCCCTGGTGTCTCTGGCCACTCGGGCGTGCTGCTGAGCACGGGCTGAGAGCGACTGGACTGGAGCTAACCTTCACCGAAAATAGAAAATGAGTGCTAGGGACTTAGCTAGGGCTTGTTCGCGGCTCCTCGAGTTTTCTAAGGGTCTAAGAGCTTCAATGCATCTAAGGAATAATGGTTTTAAAGAGTTTGGGGTGGAGGTTCAAGACTTTGGTCAAAAGGGACAAAAATGGGGGCATTCCTTCACCACATGCTCATAGGACTTAGGGATGGTCTTGGACTTGTTTGGCTTGACTTTGCTCGGTTTTTGGAGAGATTTTTAGAGCACAAATGCTGAGGGAAAATGTCTGGTCGGCCTCCAAGACAAGTGGGGAACATTTGCTTCATCCCATGAATAAAATATTCACAAATTCATGCACTAACTTGACCAAAGGCTAGTTGACTTTGACCCAAGACTTTTCTAGAGCCATTTGGGCTCAAAATGTTCCTTATTTATCTGGTTGTAATCACACAAAATTGGGCTTGGTGGAAGTGGGCTGGAACTTCACGAATTGGGGCTCGGAAGTGGGCTTGTGCATGCTGGCGCTGACCCTGGGCGCTGGACTCGGGCGCGGCCTGCTGGGGCGGCATGGGCTAGGCGCGAGAGGGTCTAGGCGCAGGGCTTGCTGGGCTGCGCGCATGAAATGGCTTGGGGTGATGAAATGCTAGTCCTTGGTGCATTTTGGGACTTAGAAAATTTTCCAAATGATGTACTAAGACTTTGGGCAAGGCTCGGGTAAGGCCATGGCCTCGGCTCAGACCTCGGGTGCGCGAACTAGGTCACGCGCACGGCTAGGCGCGCACGGCCGGGCTCGGGGACTAAGGCTTAAACTAGGAACATTTGAACACTTAGAAACATTCTAAGTATTATACTACTATGGCTTGGCAATGACTTGGAAAAATATACTCGGAGCGATACTAGGGTTCGAAGCCAATGAATATCTCGAGTCGAATAGATATTACTTATCAACCCAAATTATTGGATTGATCTTGGCCTTAACTTGTCATAGAAAATTCAAAGAATAATCTAACATAATTGAGCACTTAGCATATAAAACAAAATCTTAGAATTTCTGAAAAATACGAATTTCACTTATAGTCGAGCAGTGAAATCGTTTAAATATTATAATAATGATCGGGGCGTTACACATATATCACCATAAATAATGAATATATTTATGGATAGTTCGAACCTAAGTATTTATGGATTGGAAGTAAATTAAAATCTATCCAAGCCTAATAACGAAGCATGTAATTTTGCCACATAAGATCCCGAAGCATGCGAGCATGCCACTTAGACTCAGCATGTTCTGAATTAATATATAAGGGAGATTTTAGTTAATTAATTACGATATTCAAATATACATATAAACATACGTATAATTAAACATCTTCCATATCATTGTGAAAAAGGTTACCTTAAACAAAATTACATTTTAACATCACCTTAAAGAATTTGGCAAAGAAGGATGAAAAATTGAGTCGGGCGTTACATGAAAAAATAAAAAATTAAATTAATTAAATTTACAGAATATGGAAAGATGAAAAGGTTTGGGATGATGAACATTGGAATATTTAGATAACATGTATCTATACTTATATAAAGAGTCATCCCATTTACTAGAATTAGTAGGAAGAAAAGTCAAAGGTAATTAATGCATTCTATTTTCATCAATTAATTTTTATTTAATTGTTTTTTCCATAAAATCGATACAAAAAAAAATATGTACGTAAAACAAAAAAAAAAAAGCAGATTTGATCGGAAGATAAAATCTTGATTTTACCAAAAATAAATCAGATGTCAAGCATAAATTGAAAGGTTTGGTTGTCTATATAGATATTGATTTACGTAAATCAATACATCTAATATTTATAGTTTGTGTAGATTTAAAATTCCTTCTTATCTTTGTACAAAAAATCTTATAATCTGATCTGATTGGTTCCTCTACATATAATATGATTTCCGTATATCAAGATTTTTTCTTAAAAATCTTAACAGATATTGATTCTACTATACCAATTATAGAATATTTATCTCTAAATATTGAGTCATCATCTTCCTCACTTTCAACCTCCTGCGAAAAAAAATATCCTCAATCAGTCTTTCATTCTAAACAAGAATCAAGGATTTAACTTAATCAAACAAGTTAATAGGTCTAATAGACCTATGCTTAAAATTCGAATTGTAAGAATGTTTTTCCAAGACTGAGGCAGCACATACAAATCCTATCTCGAGTTGGTTCTACATAGGGGTGTTCACGGTCCGGATTGGTCCGGTTTTAGCCCAAACCATGACCAAACCGGACCTAACGGTTAATTTTTTTTCTTGTCCATAACCGGACCGGTTTTATTTTTTAACCGACCACAATCCAGACCGCATTGGACGGTCCGGTTTGGCGGTTAACCGGTTAAATCCAAAACTTGTTTTGGGCCTTCAATTTTTATTCTTTTCATTTTGGGCTTAATTTTTGTTTTTTAATTTTGGATCCTAAAGAGATTATTTGGGCTTAAAAATTAAGAAAAACAACAATAATGAAATAAAAAGTACACAATTCGTCTCATAAGCATAAAAATGCACATTTCCTCCCATAAACATAAAAATAAAAAATGATGAAGATTAATTATGCAAACTGAACTCAAGCAAACATTCATTTTTCAGTCAGTTTATACACCTGAAATAATAAGAGCAAAGCATTCATAGTGAATGTATTGTATTTGTCGGCCGTAGTGAATGACTGAATGTATATATATATTTGTTATAGTTTTTTAATATTTACCGGTCCGGTCCGGTTAAACCGGCGGTTTGCCGCAGGTAATCCGTTAACCGGACCGGTTATTCCGGATTTTTAAAAAAATTAACCACCGGATTTTTTAAGGCTTTTTTAACTTACCATTTAACCGATCCGCGGTCCGGATTGACGGTTTTTTCCGGTTAAAACCGGACCGTGAACACCCCTAGTTCTACATGATAAAACTGTAAGTCACGTACTATATATATTCCATACATTTTTCTTTATTCATGTATATAATTATAAACCTGAATAAATAGCCTTAAATTTGTGCATCTCGTGCATCACACGGGCTCTGCAGAGTGATAAGAACAACATCAACCACGATTATTAATACAAATATGTATTTATGTCAAATCCATAACTAATTGATTTGGTAAAAGAAATGATTAATTTTTATCCAAGCTATAATATTGCGCCATATTTGATACCGAAATATTCGAAAACGCATTCTACTAAAATTATATAATAAAGGAATATGAAAAATGAAATGGAAAATATTAATTAAGGAAATCTAGCAGGATTTGAGAATTGACAATGAAAGCGACCATTTTATGTTGGAAGGTTTCAATAGATTCCTTTTCTAATTATTAACCATTAAAATGTAATTGTATTTATTTTTGCACAAGTTTGTTAATTTCTTTGTCTCCTTCTCATTTCTTTATATAAAAATCCACTGAAGCTCTTTCATATTCAACTTCTCATCTCGCTATATATAAATCCATTAAAGCTCGACATATTATTCTACTCCTCATTTCTCTCTATATGAAAATCCATCAAAGCTCTACCTATTCCAAAATTTCTATCTAATCTAAACATCTCATAAAGACTTTGACTGGATGGGTGAGATGGCGGCGCTTTGGAGTACTTTTGAAGAGGTTTGTGCAAAACATAATCTCCGATGACAATATGAATTCTCTATTTTTATTTTAGTTTTCTTTCTTGATCAACCTTTGTTTGCATGTTACATTTACTTGAGTTTTTTAAGTCGAGTTTTGGATAATGGACACTGTTTTGTCTTTCCCATGTGTCTTGCATTAATTCCGTGGCTTTCTCTTGATTTCTGAATTTAATATACATGCACAATGAATAATCAGCGAGAGCTTATCTATAATAATAATAATAGTAGAAATAATAATAACAACAACAACAACAACAATAATAATAATAATAATGTCACATTGTTTAATCAAGGAATCCAATGTTAAATCATTTCTCATTAAAGTCTAATTATCCCAAATATTGATGATTAGTAGTGTCAAAAAGTTTAAATGAAAACCTTGTTTGTTAATTACATTCCTTAATGGCCTGTGTTTTTCTGTGTTTTTTCAATTTTTTTTTTTTTTTTTTTTTTTTTGTTCTATATTGTTGATGATGGCAATTTGGCAGCAGGTTTCGTTCTTTGGAGAAAATAATCCAGAAATGGAGCAGCTGGGGCAGAAGCTTCTGTACACCACACTCGAACTTGAGAAGGTAAAATCAGAAGGTTTAGAGGAGATTCGTAAAAACAAGGAATACATACGTGAGCTAATCCACCTCCTCCACTACGCCATTCACGAGAGAGACGAAGCCAAGAAACAGCTGCAAGACATCATCAAACAAAACTCCGAATCCAACAGCCTCAACTCGTCTCCCCAAAGCCCTGTTGTTTTGAACGGCAATTCAGTTTTTTTGGGCCCAGGCCCAGTTGATCTGGACCGCCTCATCCGTGGACGGGCCCTGCCCCAGAAGGGGAAATTCCTTGACGCGGTGCTTCGGGCTGGGCCTCTCCTGCAGACGCTGCTGCTGGCGGGCCCACTTCCGAGATGGCGTAACCCGCCACAGTATCAGCCGCATCAGAATCAGATGATGACACTGCCATTGCCATTCCCAAACTCAGATCGTTGTTCGCTTGGAATCAATGTTTACACGCCTTCTGCCAAGAGGCAGAGGTTCGGTTGAGACTTCTTTCAGCTTTTGTAAAAATAGATAATATTTGTAGGCTGGGGAATTTGGGGGGTGTGTAAATCGCAAAGACATTCATTNTTTGATTTGCTTTAAAATTTGCTTTGTCGTGATTTCTAATTTTTATTGTTTTTGTTGACCTTAAAATTCAGAAGAAACATTTGCAGTATCTAGAATAAGATAGTATGAATAATTGTGATGTGACATCTTTTTGTTGGATAATTGAGGCTTGGAAAGTTGTTTGTATAATATGCGGCAGAAGAAATAAATATATTAGACATGGATCATAAGTGAGCTATTTGCTGGCTCTAGACAATTTCTCTACTACACGGTATAGTTCATTATATGAGTAAAATAAAGTGTTGCATGTCATAATATAAGGAAAAGAAAAAGAAATCAAACATAAAGTCAGATAAAATTGTCAACTGCTATGTAAATTGTGGATCGTACCATAAGGTAAAAAATGAAAATGGGTGATCATGCTGAATTAATCATGATCCCAAAATTTGCCAGTTTCAGGGCAAGTAACTAGCTTTTAGGCTTTCAATTATGATTAACTGTGATAGTAAGAACTAATGACGAAGAATATGCACATGGCACATGAATGCCTAAGATTTTGACTATACATCACACACCGTATGAACTTATTTGCTTCTGTTTCTTTACATTGGATGAAAATTCATACATCACAGTGCAAGAGTAAGCATGGATTGAAGCTGGAGTACAAGTGAAAGCGAATGCAATTTCGAAAAAAATATGTATGTATTTAATATATTCAAACGGGATTTAAACTTTCAGAATCCTTTTAGTAACTGCATCTATAGAAAAAAATAAAATAAAAAAAAAAAAAAAAAAATGTAACGAGTGAGTTTACTACAACTTGAACCCTATCACCTTAGGCGGATAGGTCTTGTTTCTATACTTGGTTGGATTCTTTTATAGTTGGTTTGATAAAATGAGGTGATGTCCCCTGAATATCAGATCCATATATGTGACCCATCTTTACCCGTTTGGTCTCAAGGTAGCGCTTGTTATCCTCCGTGATTGGTGTTAGCACAGGAACTCGTCCCACAACTGCCAAACCATAGCCTTTAAGACCCGCAAACTTGGCCGGATTATTTGTCATCAGCCGCATTGTGTGGACACCAATGTCGTGCGGTATCTGTTTTAAGAGCATCTCTAATGGTTCATGAATTGCTCATTTTTATTGCCATGTGGCAGAATAAATCTCATGTGGCATTCAAAATGTCTAGAAGTCTTTCTAGACATAGAAATACTTCTAAACATCTTCTATTATATATATTAGATTTTATTGCAAAATATAGTCAGTATCTTGTACGCGGTGGCAATATTAGCCACCATCTTTACGAATTGGCAATATTAGACAACATCTTTCAAAATTTTGGGGTTATTACCCATGTCCAACCAAATTCGATGGCTATTGTTGCCACTGCGTAAAAAGATACTAGCTATATTTTGCAATTTATCTGTCGAATTTGGTTGGATTTGGGTAATAATCTCGAAATTTTGAAAGTGGTTGGCTAATATTGCCAATTCGTAAAGATGGTGGCTATTATTGTCACCACATACAAGATACTGGCTATATTTTACAATTTAGCCTATATATTATATTATTTATTATATATATATATATATATATATATATATATATCTCTTAACTCCAACCAATAATCCTACACATGTCAAAAATTATGCTGAAGTTGACGTAAACAATTGAAGACAAAATTTTGTAATTTTCTTTCTTCATGTTATACATCTCTCTAAATAGACAATACATTATTGGAGATGCTCTAAGCCCACACAAAATGATCCTCAATTTGATGTCTGGAAATGATATATGACACTGAATATTTATTCTACAACCCTTTCTTGTTACACAGATAGATATTGACCACATTTACAATAGAGATTTTAGTTTACCCTTGGAAGTAGTTTTCAGCTGATAGCAATTCAGTAGTTATTTATTTACTTTTTACTTTTTTTTGTTTGAAAAAAAAAAAGACAGATAAATTAATGGACTTACCTGGGCACCAATACCATATTCGCGTGCATCGGCAGCAAAACCAAGCTCAAGATTAGCCTCGACTGTGTCATGGCCCTCATCCTGCAAATTATAAGCCCGAAGTTTGTGACTAAGCCCGATCCCACGCCCTTCATGGCCGCGTAAATAGACAACAACACCTCTCCCAGCTTGCTCGATTATTTGCATAGCCAAATCCAACTGATTGCCACAGTCACAACGGCGTGTCCCAAAAATGTCGCCGGTCAAACACTCAGAATGGACCCTTACAAGAACATCTTGCCCATTTCCAATATCTCCCTATTGGTACAAAGCTACTATTATTTCTTTCATTTCTGTTTTTGTTTTTTCAATNACCTTATGAGATCAGTGATGGAAACAATTGGAAGGCTATGGTCCGAGGCCAACTTTTTTAAATAGGCCAAGGAGGCCAGAGAACCATCTTCAATGTCAACTACAGATGTTAGAACAGAGACTGGCCGCAAACCGGCTAACGTTACCAAATCAACAGAAGCCTCAGTGTGGCCCACTCTATGTAAAACACCACCATTTCTGTACTTTAAAGGGAAAACATGGCCTGGCCTCTTGAAATCTTCGGGTGGTCTTGATTTTGGGGATGCCAAAGCAAGTACAGTGTTTGCTCTATCCGAAGCCGATACACCGGTTGATGTCCCAACTTTAGCATCCTAATCGAAAGTTGGTCGAAAAGACTCAAGAGAGTTACATGTGCCATCTGCTAAAAGTCGAATGTAAATGTTTTGCAGAGCTTAAGATTTCAGAGAACAAAAAGAAAAAGAAGAAGTTCAAGCCATATAATTTGAACAGAAAGGTTTCACACTTGAGAATATTGTGACTCAAATCAAAGTACAACACAAGCAGGTGCTCTTGTATGAAGTCTCTACAGGAACCTCGACTTTTAGAAGAAGTTATTTATCATGGTTGAGGTTAAGGAAGTTGCTGAGCCCCAGAAGCCGGCATTGTTGGCACATATAATCTTAAAGTTTCATTGGGCAACAAACCTGAAACATTATTAATCAACCAAATATGGTCTGTTTAAATTCTAATTAATTTGTGATGTCATTTTAAACCACAAAAACGATTTTCTCCTGTCTGAATTCAGCAGACACAACAGGCCAACAGCTCTAGTGATTGCATCAAATTTCCTCTTTCTCATCACTGTTCGAGTAAACTCAAGCAATACGCCTAGTTAACAAACATATTCTATCCTGCTAAAGAAACACCAAATCCCAAATAGTGGGAGATTAAACCCTTTAATGTATCCATATGATCCAAGGAAACCAAATGTACATCTCCTCCGATAAAAGAACGAAAATGAACAAACAGAAGAGCAAAACTGCAAGAAACTTAAATTTGCTGACCACTGTGATAGTGAATGAAGGAGCAGAAGAATCGTCTTCGTTTTCAGGGGACATCAAAGGCAGCTTAAGCCTCTCAAGATCTTCCCCTTTCATCCCCACCGATACTATGCCCGACCCATGTCTCACCATAAATCCTATTCTCTTCTCGCTAGCGTGGCATGCTCCCATTACAAGACTCCCTTCTACATTACCAATTTCGTCCTCATCCACAACCACCACAAACTAAAACAAAATACATGTAAGTAAAAAATCACGCCCAATTGATCAACCCAACATCCGTACCAATCTGTTTTATTTTTTATTTTTTTAATATATATAAGTTTTCGAACCTTTTGTTGTCGCAAAGCAGTAATTGCTTGTTCGATTGGGGAGTAGCCGGGAGATGGACGGTCAGGATCGCCCTCAGCATCGCTCACAAAGAAATCGATGATTTCGTTGGTTATTTCAGTTTCGAGTGTCCCGAAAGGGGGTAGAGAGCCGTTTACGTTTCGATTGCCGCAGCAAGTTACCAACTTCCATGCCCGAATTCTACTTGTGCTTCCGAGCTGGTGTGTAAGGTTTAAGGATGTCTTTGAGGGTTTGAGGAAGAATGAGTGCTGAAACACAATGCAATCCATTGGACTGGAGAAAAAGAAAAACTAAATAAAATGTAGTTGTATTTAATTTGGACGATGAATTTTGGGGAAGTGTTGTTGGATGTGTAGGCAAGTAAGAAAAGAAGATGAGGAGAATGAAGGTGGGTCCATT